TTTCTGGTCAATTTTTCTGTAAACCTAAAACTGCTCTAAAAATAAAGTCCACTAATTTTAAAAGGAAAAAAAAAAGAAAGAAAAAGAAATGAAGGGGACAGTGTTACCCTTCTGAATACGTGGTACTGGCACAGTGACAGATAAATACACCAACGGAACCAAATCAAACTCACACATACGTGGAAACTTGACTAATGACTGAAAACAGATTAAAAAAAAAGGACAAATTGTTCAACAGATAGTATAAGAACACTTAGAAATACATATGGGGCAGAGGAAAAAGAAATTGAATACCTACTTCACATCCAACACTAAAATCAATTCCAGGTGTATAAAAGTCTTAAATGAGAAAGGCAAAAGTTTTAGAAGACAATAAAGGAGAAATTTTTTATGTCTTTGGGGAAGAATTTAACAACACACAATAATCAGAGACCAAAAAGGAAAAGTTTTTTTTTGTTTAACTTATTAATAAAATACTATAAAATATTTAGCTTGAGATAAGAAAGCAAAAGTTTAATTCAGTTAAAACAAACATTAAGACCTTTCAGTATCATCAGTAAATCTCTTTGCTTTATGAAACCTGTCCCATAGAGATGACTATTTTTATTTATTTATTTAAAAAAAATTTTTTTTGATGTGGGCCATTTTTAAAGTCTTTATTGAATTTGTCACAATATTGCTTCTGTTTCATGTTTTGGTTTTTTAGCCATGAGGCATGTGGAGATCTTAGCTCCCTGACCAGGGATTGAACCCGCACCCCCTGCGTTGGAAGGCGAAGTCTTAACCACTGGATCAGCAGGGAGGTCCGAGATGACTACTTTTAAAGGAAAAGACTGGTTTAAAAAAACCTGACTATTAAAATTAAAACTTCAATTCTTTAAAAGATATCATAAAGAAAGTGAAAAGAAAAGCCACACATTGGGAGAACATTTATATTTATGAAACATAAACCTGTAAGGGAATCTAATATGGTAACCACTGGCCATATGGGGCTACTTTATTAAAATTAAATTAAATGAAATTTAAAATTTAATTACTCAGTAGCTCTGGCTACATTTCAAGGGCTCAGCAGCCACATGTGGCTAGCGGCTGCTTGATTAGCACCAATATGAAACATCTCCATCATCACAGAAGTCTCTTTTGGACAGAGCTGATACAGAACATGTGTGGAATATTTAAGCTTCTAAAATAAAGAGACAACCCAATTTTAAAAATGGACAAAAGACATTAGCAGACATATGACACAACAAAACAACAAACATACAAAAATGAACCAAAACATGTAAAAAGTCATTTCAACCTCATTAGTAATCAGAGTAAAACAAATTAAACCCATTAGATATAATTTCAGACACCCCAAACTGGGAAAAGATTAAAACTCGGTAGCACCAAGTATTGAAGACGGTACAGAGCAGCACATTTCCAGTACTCCGTCTGTAGGAAGGGAACCCATGGCAACAACTGTGGAAGCAGTTTTGCATTATCCAGACACATTGAACACTCTGGTACCCAGCAATTCTACTCTAGAGAAGGGATTCTCCACCTGAGCTAAACAGTCCATCTCCTCACCTAGGGCACTTGAAACATGTATAGATACACACACACTAGCACTTAATTGGCAGAGGTGAGGGATAATAATGTTCCTGCAATTCAAAGAATTATTCCACCTGAACTCTGCACCAGGAGATGTGAACAACAGCAACAAAAATTACGACACTAGAAACAACCCAAACATCACCAACAGAGAAATGGATACATAAACTGCATTTAATGGAATACCACAGAATTGGAAATTAAGGCACATTAGTTACAGATATCAACATAGGTCATTTTAAGGAATATAATGCTCAGTAAAATAGCAAGATACATGAATAATACACTTAAGATGTATATAAAGAACAAAAACAGTCGAATAATGAATTTGCGGATATATATATATATCTCAAACACACAGACACACACACACACACACACACACAAGCAAAGGAAAGGCTAACAAAAAAATCAGGATAGACTTATCTCTGGGAGAGGAAGCGAGGTACCACCTGGGAAGGTCACATGGGGGCTTTCTGAAGCACTGGTAATGCTTTATTTCTTTATATGGGTAGTAGGTTGAGATGTTCATTTTAATATAATATTTCTTTATTCTACTCATATATGTTTTATATACTCTTTACATGTTTGATATATTTCACAATTTTTAAAAAGTCAGCTCAATTACTAATTATCTAGGATCCTTGACCTTTCTGAACTTGGTTAGTAATAGTAACTCCACCTACCTTACAGAGTTATTCTCAAGTTTCAAGGAGATAATATATATGAAAGTGTGAATGACTGTGATGGGGGATAGAACAGGAAACCTAAGAGGTAAGCATTTCCCTAAAGATTTCATCCTGGGTACTGTCCAGGATCACAGGGCCCAGAGTTCCTGGGTAGCTATTAATCAAGTCAAGAAGATGTGAGGAGCTCTCTGTTTTGTCACTTTACAATGGAAATAACTCTAGTCCAATTCAAGCCACAAGAGTATCACAATATTGAAGGGAGAGCAGATACTCGGTAAATACGTAAATATAAGCTTTTATTATTATTGTTGTTGTTAGAGTGACCAGAGGACTGAAAGGGCCTGGGAATCTTGTCATAGAAGAAGAAATTATCCACGATCTGGGTATTTTAAATTTTAGGCTAAATGATAATGGTATGATAATTATCTCCAAATACTGGATGCAAAAGAGGCATAAGATCTATTTTGTTCAGGGTTCTTCTAAAGAGACTGGAGAAATTAGAGAAAAGTTAAAAAGTACATTCCTAGTCAATATAAAAGAGAACTTTGTGACAATCAAAGAGAGAAGGCAGAACTGACGATGTGGTGACTCTCCTTCGTCTGACTTATTCAGCCAAAGACAGTTTAGCAGAGACTGTTGTTTTGTATGAAAATATAGATTTAAAAAATAAACTGTTAAAATAAAAATACAGATAATATAACTTAGTGTAAACTTACTTTGAAAACTAGCTCTTTTATGTATTAGTCATGAGACTATAGCTAACTTATTCTATCTTTTGGAGTTTCACCTACCTCATCTGTAATAAGGATAGTATCTTTCCTTCAGGGTTATATGGAAAAAATCAATGTGATAATATACTGAAATCACCAGTGTTCTATGTGTGCTAAATCAGCTGCTAATAAATTTTTTTAAATTATTATGGAAGCCTTCCCAACTTGTTCACAGCTAGATAAAAAGGAAAAAGCAAGAACATCACTCCAAGAAAACAAAACAACTTTCATGTTTAAAAACCAGTGAAGGCAGGGAAACCGGCTCGGTTCTTTGTGGCTGTCTGGAGGGGTGGGATAGGGAGGGTGGAGGGAGGGAGACAAAGAGGGAAGAGATATGGGAACATATATATATGTATAACTGACTCACTCTGTTATAAAGCAGAAACTAACACACCATTGTAAAGCAATTATACCCCAATAAAGATGTTAAAAAAAAAAAAAAAAAAAACAGTGAAGGAAGAACTTGTATCTGTTACTCAAGAAAAGCAGTAAAACTGATATCCCTGGATCAGTTTCTTTAAAATGTTATCAAATGGCCTTTGGTCTCCCAAAAAGTTTCCTTGAACATGCTTTGTGTAGAAACCTTCCCCTATAAAAACCCTTTTAAATTTCATGACCCTAAAGCACTTTCCAGTGTGCTGGAATAAAAATAAGACAGGAATTATGAAGGTAAGATTTGATATAGCAAACCACATTCACTACAATTCAGGTCATTAGTTTTTAAAAATATCTAAAGCTAAGAAAAAGGGTACGTGCTTAATGGCTTATGTCCTCTAAATTTAACCTGCAGAAACCAATAAAGATCTTTAATGTCTATAAATAAGAGACGCTGAACTTCAAGATCAAATTACAGTAATTTATTATAAATAAATATCCTATAAATAACTTCACTTTAATGATACTTGCAAAACTTTGTCCTCTTGCATAGCACTTCTGTAGTTCAGATCAAGTCAAGCTGTTTTCCATGAATAAGATAAAGGCCCCAGAGAGTTTAAATTATTATGTATTTTCCTATAGTTATCTTTTTATTCTGTGGAAGCACTCTGCTACACTCTGGTTTTTAGTTTGGTCCTGTTTTTTACTTAAGTCTCCAACCTAGCTTCAAATTACTAGTTGGTGGTCACATGGTGTAATGAAGTTGGTGGATTAACTGAAATTAAAACCCAGAATCCTCTTTACCACCCTTCTTTTCAAGCACAGATCAATTATTTATGACCAAGTTCACCAACACTATGTTTTAATTTAGGAAGCAGTCCATTAGAAGCCAGCTATAAATAAAGTAAATAGACTCTGGCCTCAGAACTTTTTGACCTCACAGAGCATTGAGAAGATGGGAGAAAAGCAGCAATGGAAGAATACAAGAAGAGGAAAGAAAAATAAAAGAACAAAAGAAGCCAACATCCACTGAGCTGCTTCTATGTCAGGCCTTCCACCTAAAGCATTTCACTTATTCTCAGATAATTTGACATTACTTCATTTAATTCTCACAACCCCATCGTGCAGCTATTATGTCCCTCTGATTTAAGAGTGAGAAACTGTAGCTCAAAAGGCTAACTTGCTTCCTGGGAGTCATGAAGTTAAGTAGGAAAACCAGAATTTGACCTGGGGTTTGTCTGATTCCAAAGCCTGGGCACTTTTTCCTATAGCAGATGAAATAATCTCTAATATTTTTAAATGTGAGTAGTTTAGGAATTTCCAAAACAATAACAAGGCACTAAATAATATTTTCAAAGTATAACATGAATAGCAGAAAGCCATCTATATAACCATTATTTCAACTGCTTATAAGAACATGAAGTGGGAGGTTGTCGCCATTTTGCTTAAGATATATATGAAATCATACACAGAAAACGGCAGACGGACTCACGTGGAGATTGGAAAGTGTAATGAAGTCACATCCAAAAGCAAGACAAAGACAGAGAATGTCAAGGGCTAAATCACATCTTACCTGCTGTACTTCACTTTCTCCATTTGAGATTTTCTCAGTGTAAACAAAGGAGTTGAATATCCGCTGCAAGGGAGAGAAAATGAACAAACATTAGATTTTCTAAACAAGACACAGCCATTTTCTATATGAATGTGTATGTGAATAAGCTGTTTACAGCACAAATAGAATCAAGCAGAAAAAGTTAATTAAAATAGTTATTTGACACAGAGAAATCCAAATATCAGCCAGTCAATCACACTTATGTCAGCAATACCCATCCACTTCTGTAGTGAAATAAACCAGATGTTACGCTATATTTTTCATTTTCAAAAATACATTTAATTATAGATTTCCGGAGCCCATGCCATTTTATCCGACTGGTATAATCTGACAAAGTTGTGTTTCTCATTTAAATCCTGCACTCCCTGAATGCTGTAATTGTTTACAGACACTACAGTCTAATGTAATCAAGCTCTTTAAAAAAGATTCTTTCCATATTCCCTTATGTCCCTGTCCAACCAGTACCTACCCAATATTGTCTATCACCTTCATTACCCAAGCAGCCCCTCGAAAGAGTAAAATAATAGGGCTTGCCAAATTATGTGTGGCCTTAAGAGAGAATCCAGTCCTTACATGCCAGGAAATAAGACGGCCGTGCCAAGATATCAGTCCAAACGGTGGCACACAAGCACACACATTCTTCCCGCTGGTCTCTGCCTCGCTGGTACCCAGTCCTGCAGACATTGCCTGCATTTACAACATCTTGCAGACTTATGACTTTACCAAACCCCACCATTACTGACCAATCACAAGAGATTAACCTGTAACAAACCGAAAAAAAAAAAGAGAACCCAAGAAACATTACCTGTTAGGGACTGGGGAAAAAAAAAAAAGGAACAGCAGCCTCGTCATTTATCCTAAAACTTTAAAGATACCTCTGGAACTCTCCGGTTGAGTAAGGAGTCAGACCTGGAGATGTCAGCCAAAATTTCCCGTGTTCCTTTGTATCCTACTGACAAGGGTTTGTTGGCATCTGGGACAGCTTCCCAGACAGCCTAACACACCTGCATGGTGGTGATGAGGAAGACAAGTGCCAAGTTCATCAAGTGCTGTGCGAATGAAGGAAAATCAAGGTGCTGGGGCTGGGGGAGGGGTGGGGGTGGGGGCATGTTGCTGGGGGAAGGGAAGTAAACACACTTGGGAAGGATGGAGATGGAACGGGACGGAATTACAGTCTGGAAAATTCTAATTACAAATTATCATAATTTTTCAATGTGCCACTCATTCAGTCAACAGATGCTTACTGTCGTTTTCCTTCCTGAAAATGACTTGCTGATAGGAAAGGTACAGATTTTTAGTAATGGTGATAATGATACTGGCGACTAGTTATTAAATGTTTACTGCGGGGCAGACACTATTCTTAGGCATGTTACACCTATATACCTATTTCAGTCTCATAAAACACCTTTGTGACAAGCCCTATTATTATCCCCATGATATGAGCATATATGAGGAAACAGAAGCATATTTTATTGAGTGCCTAATGCAATTCACATTGTACCTCATATGCATATCTTATGTAATAACAAAATTACTGCAGCTCCAAAGATGAAAAACGAAGACCCTGGGCAATTAGGTAATTTACCCAAAGTCACTTGGCAAGGCTGGAATTTGAACCCAGGCAGTGCGACTCCGGTTATGGTGCTACTAACCCTATTGTCACATATGAAAAACACTCCTGTTAGGAGCTAACACCCAAACATAATGCAGATCAACAATCCCTTTATGTGTAATTCTAAAATTCAAAAGGCTCTGAAAATCCTGTTTTGCATAACACATTTGCTAGCAAAATATGACATGACCTGAACTTATTGGCAGTAAATCCTAACTTGAACTGATGTGTATTTACAGTCTTTATTAAACCACTTAGTGTGAGTATTTATTCTTTTTGATGCAGATGTACTAATGCATCTGATTATAGGGTTCTGTCTGCTTTAGATTTCACTGAAGGTGTTTCATCATCAAGGTGCATCAGGATTCTGAATCCTAAAACAGACATCGTTTTGGAGAAGGAATTATAAATCTGCAGACCTCCAGCCCCAGTTTTCTGGTGAACACCTTAGTTCACTAGACAACAATGCTTTTAGAGGCTGTGTCAATGTCACTGCCACCTACACTCCCAGACCATATTCTCTATTTTTATATAATTTGATTTTCACAACCTGCTCAGTACCAAGAGTGCACGTTTATTAAAAACTAACATAATTCATGAAGTGTCTCCATATCTTGATGAGTGTGGTCAATTTCTTATTTCATTTCTGGCAGCGATATTTCAGTTGATACATTATCTGTCCTATCCTGGGAGGTGTTCCCCCAAGAGGTGACTGATGGAGTAACCCATGTTCTGGGAAGCAAACCAGATCCACTTTGCTCAAAACAACTACTAAGGGCCACACCTAATGAGGAATCTCAGATCCTTCCCTCTTCTTTGTTGTTAAAAGAAAGGTGAATTCCTCAGTAGTAATAAGGAATATAAGCCAGGAAGTGTTTGCCAGGCCGTGTCCAGCCCCTGTTTTACTCATTCATTTTCTTAACAATTACTATCAATCATGACGGCCAACACTTTTATTAGAGCCTTTTATGGCTTATACGTGTTTCTATATTCTCAACACCTAATAAAAATTAGGTGGGTAATAGAAAATTTTAAAAGAAAGAAGTTATAGATGTAAGCAGTAGTGATCTTACAGACTACTTATATATTTTATACAACCCTCTTACCACCCCAGAAATGAAAGGTGGCCTGCTAGAATAATAGTTTGGAGCTATCACCAAGCAAACAACTTTTTGCCCCTCTCCCGGCAGCGGGGAAGGGTGTTAGTGAAAGGCAAGTAGAACCTAGACAAGTAACTCACAACTAAACAGGTCAGCCAGCCATGTCTGGTGCAAGGTTAAAAGTTCAGGCTTAGTTGTGTGCCCAAGATCTCAAGTATAGAGTGATATTCCATTATGCTCTAGATTAATGGCCAGTAATAATCTTTCTTAAAATGCAGGGCCTGTTAAGCCCAGTTCTCAAAGGCTTATTAGGCTTAGTACTTTCATAGTTTACAGTTTCACATAGATGATCTCATTTGATCCCTACAGCAACCCGATGTGGGAGACAGCGATCTGAAACCTATTTTACAGATTAAAAACTACAGCTCAGAAGTTAGAAAACGCATCACAGGTAAAAAATTCAAGTGTTGAGGTCTAAACCTAGGTCGTGAGTTAAAAACAGGCATTGCTTCTAGCAAAACTATTAAATTTATTCACATCAACTTTTCGTTCAGGATAATCTAGAAATCCTAATATCAGCATGCAGAAAAAGAGTGAAGATTGGGGTCTTTTTCTAACAATTTTATTTTAAGCAAGATACAATGTGCTGGTATAACTTTATATTACATATGACCAACGTCAGGCATAACTAATAAGAGTCCCAGACAAAGATTTTATCTTTTATTACTTTCTATTGCTACGTAAAACTGTGAAAGGAATAGAATACAGAGTTTTCTGGGCATTTTATTTTTAATTTGGGAGCCAGGAATTCCAAATGATACACCTAGCTGACATTTTCATGACTGCAAGAGTTTCTTGGTTGTCAGAGGACTTGAAAAATGGAAATGGAAAAAAGTTTTCTTAAAACATGACATGAAGAGCAATCCCAAAAGGTCAGATTGTTCGTCTTCTCTGATGCTTTACTCACAGTAACAGGGTTAGGATGTAGGTGGGTAGGGTGGGCATGCCACATTCTATTTCCAAGTTGTCACTTTCCCTTACTCAAATTCCCTCGAGGACCAAAGGAATTCCAGACATTTGAACTCTTAATTTGAGCACAATCTGGAGGAAGTTTGAAGTCAATCTCCTCGGTGTACAAATCCCTGGAAGTAAAGGCAAACATATTGCTTGTTGTTGCCCATTACTCTTCTAATTCTTGTCAAATACTAGAAGTAAAAACACACTTTGTTGTATAGTGAAAACATCATTAAAATAGGTGAGGGGTTTTTACAAGTTATTTTAAGGAGAAACACTTCACTGACTCCTCTTTGTCAGTCATATTAATTTCCATAATCAAAAGAATACAAGAACAACAACATGCCTTATTCTTGAGCTCAAGGCAACTAAGTACTCTGATCTAAAGACAAAACTGACCTTTCCCTCATTAAAACACATACCTTGGAAAACTGGCGGTATCTTCTGAAGTTAACTATATGCATATCCTATGACCCAGCAGTTCTCATCCTGGTATATACCTAGCAGAAATGTGTTCGTGTTTATCAAAAGAAATCTTAAGAATGTTCATAGCAGCACTACTCATAATAGCCCCAACCTGGAAATTATCCAAATGCCTATCAGCAACAGAATAGACAAACTGTGTGAACTCACACAGTCGAATATTTGGGCGAGATGAAAATGAACATACAATTGCAACATGCATCAACATGATGACTCTTATAAACATATTACTGAATGAAAGAAGCCAGACACCAGGACACAAAGAATGTTAATTCCATTTATATCAAGTTCAAAAATAGGCAAAACTAACCTAGCCTATTAGAAGCCAAGATAGTGGTTACATTTTGTGGGAGAGTCAACTGAATAGGGCATGAAGCCTACTTTCGGGATGCTGAAATGTTCTGTCTCTTGATCTGGTTACAGGGATGTGTTCACTTTTGTGAGAACTCATCCAGCTGTACATTTATGAGTGTGCACTGTGCTGTATGTATGCTATACTTCAATAAATCTACTTTATTTTATTTATTTATTTTTTTGTGGCATGTGGGATCTTCCTGGACCGGGGCACGAACCCGTGTCCCCTGCATCGGCCACTCAACCACTGTGCCACCAGGGAAGCCCAATAAATCTACTTTAAACACACATTCTAGGCAGTCTCTTTAAAATATACCCTAGACAAATGTTTTTGTATATTTTAAAAATCATTTATGCAGTTTTAAAAAGGACAATAATCTATTAACTGGGCTATTATAAATACTTTAAAAAAAATCTACACCCCAATCTGCAACCAGATGAAATTAGACTGTACCAATACT